TGGGACAATAATAGGCTTATTCATTAAATTATGCACTTCTAGAGCTACTGATTCGTTTATCACTGTAGATATTGTCGATGGTATATAATACGTTGCATTTTTTATCGGTGGTGTAAGTATTTCAATGCCATCAGCTATATTTGTATTGAAATAACATACTTGAATTGAGTTGCTTGGAATCTCAAAATTTTGATTTTCGAAATCTGTTCTATATTGAAACGGAATTGTTGTTTTATTATTAGAAAGAAGCATATTAGAAAAATCTATATTTAAATTATTATCTTGTAATGCTTTGATTCCAATAATTCCATCAAAATAAATAGTCATGGAAATTGTACATTATCATTTCAATGTTGTTTTGAATATTATATTCTTGTAAAATTGGTATATTGATTTTTCCATACGTTTTTCTTGTACCCATGCAAGTTGTTAGCTTGTTTCTTGAATTAATTATAGAATTTGAAAAATATTCTTCTGCGATTGAGAGTCTTATTAAAGAGGCATGACTTCCTGTGTCAATTAATAATTTACACGGTGGATAGTCTATTTGAATAAAAGGTAGTTGGTTGATTTGATAAGCATTTAAAGTTAATGCTGACTCATTGCATCCAAGGCTTGTAACTGAAAATTTTCGTCTTCAGTTGGGACTTGATTTTCTTCAAAATTTGTCTCTTCATAATAGTTTTGATTTTCAGAACATTCGTCATTTTCGAAATTTTCATCAGGTTCAGGCAATTCGATTTCAAAGATGTTATTAATTTCTTCGATTGTATATTTAGAAGGGTTTTGATGTTGATTTTTTGCTCTTGGTTGCACTGAAACACCGGACATAGGTGTGGGTTTCGAAAATTGTTGATTAGTGTTTTTTCGAAAGGCATTATTGTAGTTTTTGCCAAAAGTTCCTGAACTAGTAGGAAATTTTGTTGGTACATAGTCCTTTTTGGGTTGTATATTAATAGGTTGGGATGGAAACTGTGGTTTCTGTGGTACATACGATGTTTTTTGTGTATATTGAGGTTTTTGTTGAGTATAGGTTCGTTGTGATTGTTGTGAACGAAATTGCGTATTTTTATTTTTGAAATTTGAAAAATTTTGATTTTGATTTTGGTTAGTAGAATGAGTAAGGCCTCTACTAAATTTCATGTGGTTTTCAGCTAGTTGATAATTTAACACAAATTTGTTAGCTGCATCCAACGTTTGTGAATTTTGAACCATTAAAATTGTTCTCAATTCGGTTGGCGAATTAGTGACTAGATTTTGAATAGCAATAATTTCGTTTTGTTCAATTAAGACATTTGCAACTACCGTTAAATTTGGGTCGCACATGATTTTAGATGTGATTCTTTGAACTAAACCTTTTAGTTTATCCAAATACTCAATAATAGTTTCTTTATTAGTTTTTGTGGTATACATAAGCTCTTGTACCAAATTCTGTCTAGAATATTGATCACCATACTTAATTCTTAACGCTTCTCTTATATCAGTCCATGTTTGTAAATCAGGACGTGCCATAAGAAAATTTCCTGCGTCATTTATTAATTTTGATTTTATGGCGGTAACCACATACTCTTTTTGAGCATTTTCACCAGTATAGTAAGTTTGATAAAATTCATTGATGTTTCTTATGAAATATTCTAAATATTGGCTTTCGCCACTGAAAGGTTTGATTAGTTGAACGATTGATTTTAAATTTTCACTCATTGTTACGGTTGATCTTTGATTTTGGTTGTTACTTCTTGAATTAGGATTGTAAAGATGAGTTAAATTAAATTGAGTCAAAAGATTCTCGATTTCTTCTTCAGAATCTGACATATATATTTCTTTGAATTTTTAAAAGAAATTATTTTGAAAATTTAAAAAGTTTTATTAAAATTAAAATTATAATTAATTATTCAGTCTTATGCGTTGCTTTTTCTTTAAAATTATTTGTTGTTGTGGGTTTGTAAATTCTTTTTTTACTCTTTATTTTTATTTCAGTCTTTTCAGCAAACCGTTTTGGAATTGCAAAAGAACAAAAATCTGAATTTAAGTCTTCTCAGTAAATCAAAAAAATTAGAAATTACAAAAGATCAAAAATCCAAAAATCTTAACTATGGAACACCAATTACAAAATGTATAAAGAGGAAGGTTGTACTTACTAGGCAAAGCTAATAACAGTACTCTTTCTTCACACGTTGTTTCTTGTTATTCCTTATACTCAGTTAACCAATTCGAAGTGGACAGTATCTGGAACGTTTAATAGCAGCACTGATAATCCAAATTTCACTTTTCCGAAGAATTCACTTTTGGAACTTTCTTCAGTCTTTTGAAATTTTCGCGACGGATTACGACTGTTACAACTCCCGAAACTTAAGCACTCTGAGCATCCGAACGACTGCGCCAATTATATTTTCGATTCAGAAACTTGTATTTTAAAAAACATTTATTTTAATGATTAAAATACAGAGGTGACAAAAGAAAATATTCGGATCAAATTGCTACAGGCTAAAGCCAGAAAACAAATGACGTTCCTTATGGGACGGCATCGGCTTAAATAAACATTTAATGCCGACATAGCAATTTGATGTTTACTTTACAACAATGTATTTAAAAAGTCCTAGAGGAAAGGGGTAAGCACATTAAAGCATATAAAAAATAGATAATTGATTATAAATCAGCATGGCAATTGGTTAATATAACTTGTACACTACCAGAAAGAAACAGAAATATTAAAAAAAAATCAAGCCACAAAAGTGAGACAAGTGCGCTGTGGGATGCAGCCAACCTAGGCCACCGTGATCACTGATCTTTCGGGCCATTATAGCTATTTTATTTATTTTTTTCTCGCAAAGTTACCAAAGATAGCTATAAAAAAAAAATAATTAGTAGCAACGTTAGTAGGTATGCAGGCATATGTAGGTAGCAGGCATAAGTATGTACCTACCTATTGTGAGCAAACAAAAAAATTAAACATTTAAAGTGAACTCACACAATTGAAGTGTAAATTGAGCATAGTTTTTTATTATTTATTTCAATTAAAGGAGATAATTAGATTTTGTTTAATATTATTAAAAAATGTAAAAATTAAAATTCGAGTATGACTTGTCTGGGGCCAGTGGATCTAGAGTTCGAAGGAAGCTAGGGAAGGAATTCGGACGAAAATGTTCGATGTTGCCACGTTTAATTATAAAAAAGCAAAAATACTACATATATGAAGTATATTAGGTAGTTTATTCGAAAATACCTAGTTCACGATAGCCAAACGTACAAATTGGTGATTTGTCATTGACGACATTGACGTTGACAGCACTATACATTTTATATAAACAAGCCTTCACGAAAACGGTGATTTGATTAAGCCGATCACCAGCTGTTTGTTTTCTATCTTTCATTATTGAATACGATTGAAAAAAGACAAATAAACATCAGCTGGTGATCCGGTTAATTCGAATAATTTCACTGCACCGTTCTGAATTTACTTTATTATTTGGTCGATCGTAAACAGCTATGATATGATGATTGATGACAGGTGGAAAAGAGGACTGAGGAGTTTTCAGGTTATAGGTAATAATTAAAGAAAAGTATAAGATTGATGAGCCCACGAGCCAAAGGCGCGTGGCTCAATCACCGAGTGAATATAATGGGCATAATCGCGAGTATAATAATAATATACCTACCTACTTTTTCTACTCCTATGGAATAAATGAAAAGCAAATGAAATCGACAAAATAGGAGAAAATCTCACATGACAGGAGTGTCAAACAACAAAACACATTTACAAGCAAACAAGCGGCGGTAAAGTTTATCTATTCTGAATTTTCAAGGTATGTAGGTACCAATAAGGAACGATCAAATATTAGGCGCCTTTGCGTGAATAAATACTGAAAAAACCTTTGTAAAATATTTTGAATATTCCCTACTAAAAAACTACAATCGTCAAAATGAAATACTGGTTATCGGAACTAAATTGGGAAACAATTTCTGTTTATTTATCAGAGGTATGTTGGTTAACTTTGGAAGGCAGGCTAGTTTTAGTATGTAGTTTTATTTTTTGCCAGAGGCTGGTAGGTAGGTAGGCGTATTTATACCTATTGTATTTTCAATTCGGATTAACAGCATTAAGATGGCCTAGGGCATGTGTGCATTTAAAAATAACTAGTGATTCAATTCAGAATAGATAAACTTTAACTCGGACGCTACCCTCAGCTGCGGCAACTGACAAAACTGAGGGCTTGATGAAAATCTTGGCCTGTGATTGGACCCAATTCCGTTGTCTTATGATTCATAAGCCAACGGGTAAAAATAATGACTACTATTATTCAAGGAAAAGGCGTCAATAATACTAATAGACATATATGTAGATTCAATAGGAGTAGAAAATTAGTGTATTATTACCTGAACGATTATGCAGGCCATTGAGTGTGAAAATTGAGCCCACGAGCCAAAGGCGAGTGGCTCAATCACCCGAGTAAATTATGAAATACTTGGCCTGTGATTGGACCCAGACCGTTGGCTTATGATTCATAAGCCAACGGGTAAAAAAAATGACTACTATTATTCAAGGAAAAAACGTTAATAATTGAAGGGGTTAGAACCAAAACGGTATAAGTGACATTTGCAAAAAAAATGAGTTAAGTGCATATTTGGGTACATAAAACTCCAATTTGTTCCATGGCAAAGCGAACTAAGTGATTTTTTGACATTCAGCGCCATCTATTGACAACTAAAAATTGCATGTAAACAGAAATCTTCGATTCGCTCCAGTCAAAACGGTCTAAGATCACTTATGCCATTTTGCCTCCAAACGAAATCTATATTTCCTTAATATGCAAAATGGTCCAAGATCACTTGGATCGTTTTGACGTTAGATATTTGTTGAATATTTTAAACCTTTCAATACGCAGACTGTCTGTTTTTGGCGGGAAATTGCGTTTAGTTTGGTGATTTTTGTCTAGTGTGCAATAGTGTGATTACGATTTACGATTTTTGAATACAAATTGTGAGAGTTAAAGTGTTCAATAATGGATGAAAACGAGGAAAATATTTCGGGTAAGGTTTGTTGTTAAACTTTTTTTAACTAACACTAGTATTAAGCAAAAAATTGAGAGAAATCGCCCAAATTAGCAAAAAATATTTATTTGTCAGATTCAGAAGACACTGCGACTGATACTGATCCCTATGAAACAGATGAGGACAGCGAATATTTGCCCAATTCACCTAACAGAATCGTTGAAGCTGGAACCGACGACACAGAAAGTGAGACTTCTAATAATGAAGAACATGGTATGCAAGCATTGATCACTTGTTTTATATTAATAAAGTTGAAAACTCTATATTTTTTTCAGTGACACCAAGGAAGGCTAGAAAAAGAAAACGAAACGAGAACCAGAAGCAGAAACGTAAGCGTGCGAGATTAACTGGACAGCAGTACGTAGCTTTAAATGGGAAAGAAATTAGGAAGAGAGAACTAAAACCATACAATCATCGATGCAGATACGGATGCGATAAAATTGAGGAAGAGCGGAGGAAATTACTGTTTGAAAATTTTTATAGTTTGCAGTCATATGATCTACAAACACAATATTTAGCCTCTTGTATAACGAAATCTGCCCCAAAAAGACCTAATAGAAATGCAGTTTCACAAAAACAATTTACAACAATAATAACTCTTATGGGCACACGAGTTTGTAAAAAGTTTTTCCTGAAAACCTTTGATATAACCAATAGAAGATTTGGAATAGTTTGTCAAAAGAAAAATGCTGATGGGTTTACTGACACTGATAAACGAGGACATCACGCCCCAAAAAACAAAATTGACGCAGTTACCAGAAATAATGTAATAACGCATATTAAAATGTTTCCCCGCTATAAAAGCCACTATTCGCAGTCCCAAAATGGTAATACAAGCTATCTTCCAGAGGATTTATGCATAAGGAAGATGTATTCATTATATAAAATATGGTGCAATGAAACAAAAAACATTCCCCCAGTTAAAGAATCGTATTATCGAAGTGTTTTTTGTAACGAATTTAATCTTAAATTCCATAAGCCCCACTCAGATACATGTCACATATGTGATCGTTTAAATAATTTGATAAACAATAGTCCTGATGAAAACATTAAAACGCAAAGCAAAGCCGAGCTAGAACTTCACCAAAGGAAAGTTGAGAGTGTAAAAAATGTCAAAAAACTCGATATAGAGTACGGAAGACAAAATCCGGATAAAGTTCGGGTGATTTGCTTTGATCTCCAGAAAACATTACCTACTCCTTTTCTTTCAACTAATAAAGTATTTTACTTACGTCAATTGTGGACATATAACCTTTGTATTCATGATCTAGTAACTGGAATATCCTCTATGTACATTTGGGATGAAACCATCGGCCAGCGAGGATCACAAGAAATAGGATCATGCTTAATTAAGGTACCTTATATTTTAAGACAAGTTCTTCTTATTAGAAAATTACTAGAACCTTTTTTTTCAGTACATTATGACCTTGCCGCCAAATATTGAAGAACTTATTTGCTACAGCGACCAATGTGGAGGCCAGAACAAAAATAAGAACATCACAAAATTGTTCATGTTTCTCGTTCAAACCACAAGTTTGAAGATAATACACCACAAATTCTTCGAATCTGGACATTCGTACATGGAATGTGATCGTTCATTTGCCCGTATTGAAAAAGCTAAAAAAAAAGCTTTAAACATCTTTATTCCAAAGAACTGGTCCGAGCTAATAAGAAACACGTCAAATAAATTTCAAGTTATTGACATGAAGCAGGAGGACTTTCTCTCTTTTGACTACCTTAATAGTATTATCACAGATCCTAAGAAGGATATGGAGAAGAAACCATTAAAGTGGCGACAGATAGTATGGTTTACGTACAGAAATGAAGATTTTTTCTGTTTCTTGTTCAACCAAACTAGAAATCCAATTTTTCCCTCGATTCACTCTCAAAAATGTTCTGCGCTTCCAGTAGGAAGACCAAAATTGTCCATAAAAAAGTTATTGGAAAAGTCTCTTTATTCGACTACGTTGAAAATAAAAAAGGCTAAATGGGAAAATTTGATTCAACTTCTGCCGTACATTCCTCCGATATACCACGATTTTTACCAAAAAATGCCCCATGAAGCAAAAGTCTCGAACAAGAAGACAAAGGGAAAACCAAGTGGTTCAAAAAAAAATGAAACACAAAATAAAGCTGAAAAAGAGACACAAAATGAAACTGAAGAAGAAACACAAAATGAAACTGATCAAGAAGACGACGTAGTACTATCTGACGACTACGAAGAATACTGAAAGTACTTGCGATTATGATAAGCATACTAAAATCTTCATGTTTCTATTATGAGTTGTATTTTCCTAATAAAACTATTGCTGAATTTTTGTTTTGCTTCCATCGTTTAAAACCATAAGGGTCTAAGTAGCATTAACAAAAAAAAATAAGAACATTAGCAAAATTTTATAATCCTAACAAAAAACAGTTACATATTACGTATTAAATAACATCAAAAAAATCGTGAAAAAATATCTACAGAATTTACAGTAAGCAACTAACTTCAACTTCAAATATCTCAAAATGAAAAATTTGTCGGTTGGACCCTTTTGGTTCTCACCCCTTCAATTGACATATTATTCAATAGGTGTAGAAAATAGCTATTTATGCAACAAGTGTGAAAAATAGTATATTATGCAATAATCATGTATTTTGAGGAGTGCGTAAAGTTATTACATTATTAGCCAGGTGGTGAAACAGTTTTTACAGGCGATTGAAGGAATTGACTATAGTTGGATTTTTACCATTCTGGAATGACGTCACGCTGGTGGCAAAATAGTTATTTATCTAACAAGTGCGGAAAGTGGTACTTTTCTGCACGCGACGGCAGTTGCACGAACGACGCGAAGCGGAGTTCGGGCAAGCCGTCAAGGGCGGAAATAGTTATTTTCCTAACAAGTGCGGAAAATACCATTTTTCTGCACGCGATTGCCTTTAGCCGAACGACGCGAAGCGGAATTCGGATAGCAATCGAGTGCGGAAAAATTATTTTCCGCAAGTGTTAGGAACAGAATTTTTCCTACGAGCGTGCGGAAAAATGTAAAAAAAATAAAATAAAAACATGTGTTTGCGTGCGGAAAAGTAACACTTTGCGCACTTGTTAGGAAAATAAATATTTCCGCAAGAGTTAGGTACAATGCTTTTCGTACGAGTGTATTTTGTCCATCTTATTTATCAAAAAAAATGTTTTCAATAGGCAAAGAATAAAGAATAATGCTACAAAATGACACATAAGATAGAATAGTTACATAAATCATTTAATTAGTCCTAAATATCTTCATTTTAAACAATACAGATATCGTGCGGAAAAGTACTAGCACTAGTGCGGAAAAGTTATCTACTTTTCCGCACGATTTTACTTTTCTGCACGATTTTTTTATGCACGAATTAATAATGAAAGAGCATTTTTTTATCAATATTAATAGGAAACTTTATTGCTATGGGTACGTTTTGGTGTCAACAATTACCACCACATGATGTGGAGGTAATTGTTGACACCAAAACGTACCGATAGCAATGTCCACATGTCTCCTCTCAAGCCCATTATTATTATTGTCAATCACAAAACTTTTCAATGTATTTGACAATTTTTAAGAAGCTGCATGTGAATTTTTAAGTTTTAATGGTTGAGGGTATGAATTTTGGGAGTAGTAGTAGGTATAACAAATTTTAATACATAGACCTAGGTTTTCTGAATGGAAAAAAATAGCTGTCTATAGATGGTAATTTGATTTAAAGTAAAAAAAATAGTGCCTATATCTTGAATTAAAATAATGGGCTTCAAAGAAAAAATTGTGCGGAAAAGTAACTTTTCCGCACGCTCGTAGGAAATAGTTATTTTCCTAACAAGTGCGCAAAGTGTTACTTTTCCGCACGCAAACACAGTTATACGAACGACGCGCAGCGGAGTTCGGATGAGTGTTTGCGTGCGGAAAAGAAACTTTGCGCACGTGTTAGGAACAAAATTTTTCCTACGAGCCTCATATCAGGTAGGTAACAACAAAAATTTAAAAAAAAAACGATAATTTGTTCAATTATTTTCAATTAACCTGAAGCGAAACTATTCATTTATCAAAAAATTACATAACAAAAAAACAGGAAATTGAAATCCTCGTCAGAGCTGTTCATCTTAAAGCGTTTAAATTTGATGCGAAAGAAGTTTGTAGATTCTTACATGTAAATTGAGAACACAAATCTGACAATGTGTCAAAGCTTATTATATTCAGTGTTTGTATAGATGTTGGCTGATACCTATAGAAACAGAGGAAAAATTTGTCATCATGTGTCAAAGTCGACAGGTGCTTGACAATTATTTTTACTTTTCGGCACTCAGTGCGGATAAGGCCCGTATCCGCACTGAGTGCGGAAAAGTGTAACTTTGAGAACGATAATGCGTGCGGAAAAGTACTACTTTGCGCACGCTCGTAGGAAATAGTTATTTACCTAATAAGTGCGGAAAGTGGTACTTTTCCGCACGAGACGGCAGTTGCACGAACGACGCGGAGCGGAGTTCGGGCAAGCCGTCGAGGGTGGAAAAGACATATTCCGCAAGAGTTAGGTACAATATTTTTCCTACGAGTGCTTTTGTCCATCCTATTTATCAAAAAAAATGTTCCAATACGCAAAGATTTTATAATGATGGTACAAAATAGCACATAATATAAAATAATATAGGGTGTCCCTTTTAAGTGATACCACTATTGCTGTCTCGGAAACGGTAAGAGATACGAGGTCGGTTAAATTAGAAAAAAGTTGCCTTTTTTGATGCCCATTCAAGACTCGTTTACAGCGTTGCCGAATTCTTGTTAGTTTAGGAAATACAGGGTGATTTCTAAGAAACGCCTAAAACTATTTCATCAATTATTTTGAAAACTATTGATTTTCGGGACACAATTTAAATTTGAAGGTTTTATAACTTTTATCGCTTTACAACATGGCATCTTCAAATTTCAAATCCGACGTTTCGTGATTGAGCTACCATCATCAACTTCATTTTTTTAAATACGGACCTGGATTTTTTATGTCATTTTTAGAAAGCTCCCTTTATTCCCTTTTTAACGATATACCTCTTAAGTATGATTGGCCGACGTTTCTGCTTTTAAAGGTGATCATCAGTCATTTTTACCAAAATTTCACCTCAATTCGGCCCTGCAATTCGGTATTATTTGTAACAAAGGCGGTCTAACAAGTACTCTTTTCCTTTTATTTAGAACACTTAGAATTATCTAATTGTGAACAATATCGAGAATAATGACTTAGAAACTAATAAACTAATTATTATTGTAAATATGTACTCAAATTGAAGTCGATTATTCCTTAAGCATCATCTGCAATTTTTCACAATTTTTTTTTGAATATTATTTAATATGTATTGTTTTTCATGCAACCGTCCGCGAAATTCAATTTCGCGGCCGCCACACCTTACGTGGTGTGTATACCATGACCGCGAAACTTTGCAGCATTCTCGAGACTATCTTGCCTCTGCCGCAAGCAACCAAGGCATTTCGCGCCCTTGGTATACAAATACAGATCGTTTCACCATGGTTCATACTTGACCTTGAAACTTGAAAAAAAAGGGTTGTCGTAGATTAATTATTCATATTATGACATTCAATTTTTTTGACAAATTATGAATGACTTCTGGTTAAAGAACCAACGAACGTTTTTGACGTCATTGATTTCTTTCAGTCAATTTCTATTTGTTAAAAAAAATGGCAAATTATGTCAAAAGTATGAACCCTGCTGAAACAAAGTTTACATAACTATTATTTATTCTAGCACATGCAGCCCTTTCCTCTCTTTGAATTCTTCTAATGTCTCTGGTATTTTCGTAAACTCCATAATGAAAATAACTGTACTTTTATTCATTTAACAATTATTATCAAATGAATAAATAATAAAGAAATGTTTGACATGTTGCACAGCTGTGAATCTAATTTTTTTCAAGGCATTCTTTGATGAAATTTATTTATATTCCATATCACTGATGCCAACCTGAATTTGTGAAATTACAATAATATGTATGTACGTAATCAGTTTTTAAGTAATTATTTTAATTATTGTTCACAATTAGATAATTTTAAGTGTTCATTCAAAATTATTTTCTTAATTTTGTTCTAAATAATAAAGGAAATTAGTACTTGTTAGACCGTCTTTGTTATAAATGACGAATTCCAGGGCCTAATCAAGGTAAAATTTTGGTAAAAATCACTGATGATCACTTTTTCGAGCAGAAACGTCGGCCAATCATACTTAAGAGGCATATCGTTGAAAGAATAATAAAGTGCGCTAAAAATGACATAAAAAATGCAGGTCTGTGTTTGAAAAAATGAAGTTGATGATGGTAGTTTGATCACGAAACGTCAAATTTGAAATTTGAAGATGCCATGTTGTAAAGCGATAAAAGTTATAAAACTTTCAAATTTAAATTGTGTCCCGAAAATCAATAGTTTTGGAAATAATTGATGAAATAGTTTTCGGCGTTTCTTAGAAATCACCCTGTATTTCCTAAACTAAAAGGAACTTGGCAACTCTATAAACGAATCTTGAATGGGCATCAAAAAAGGCAACTTTTTCCTAATTTAACCGACCTCGTATCTTTTACCGTTTCAGAGATAGCATTAGTGGTATCACTTAAAACGGACACCCTGTATAACATAAATCATTTATTTGATCCTAAATATCTTCATTTTTAGCAATAAAAAAATCGTGCGGAAAAGTAACTTTTCAGCACGATTTTACTTTTCCGCACGATTTTACTTTCCCGCACGATTTTTTTATATACAAAAAATTAATGGAACCGGTTTTTTTTATCATGATCCTTGGCCTATAACTAAATTGGCCAAAAAAATTGTTAGGATTCCCTACCTTCGCGGGGCTATGCTACCCAAAATAGGGGGCCCTGCGGGGCTGTGCCCCCAAATAAGGGGCTCCGCCCCCCCCAAAAGGAGCATTCAGGGCTTCGCCCCCCACAAAGGGGCCCCGCGGGACTGTGCCCCTCAAAAATGGGGCCCCCGCGGGACTATGCCTCCCATATAGGGGGTCACCGCGCACCGCGGGGCTCCGCCCCCCAAATGGGGGGCCCCCGAACTTTAATATGGGTACACTTTTCAGTAAAAGTAAAAATCGTGCGGAAAAGTAAAAAAAAGTGCGGAAAAGTAAAATCGTGCGGAAAAGTACAACTTTCAAAACGAAAAATCGTGCGGAAAAGTAACTTTTCCGCACGCTCGTAGGAAAAACGTATTTCTTATATATCTTATTGCATCTAGCAAAAGTTATAAACAGCCAAAACATCAATGTCATCACAAATAGGTATATTTTGAAAGAAAGATAACCAAACCTGCAATGACGTTATAAAGAAAAGACAATGATTTTTTTGGAAAAATTTTGTCACTGTTAATTGATGTAAATTAAAGATAGATAACAGAAAATACTATAGCGAGCTTGTAGGCGAGTTTGTCAGCTTCCAGTAATAGGTATAGGTACAGTGGCGGCTCGTGACAATCATGTAAGGGGGGGCTCAGAAAAAAATGATAAA